AGAAGACCAAAAATATACAACAGTAAGACAAGATCATCTAGAACATCCTATTCCAGAACAGCTTTGTGCAAATAATGAATATCTGCTGGCTTGAAGAATTGGATGGAGTGGGGGTGGGATTTGAACAGCTAAGATAATGACTTCCAAGGTAGAAAGATACTGGCCAAACAAAGGTGTGGGATCTGGGAATGTGGCTTAGTGGTGAAGTGTTTACTTAGCATGCATGAAGCCCTGGGTTCAATTCCTCAGTACCACATAAAAAGGCCAGAAGCGGCACTGTGGCTCAAGTGGTAGAGTGCTAGCCTTGAGTAAAAGAAGCTCAGGGACAGCGCCCAACCCTGAGTTTAACTCCAAAGACTGGTAAAAAAAAAAAAATTACCGAAGTATGGGTTTAGCAGCTTGAAAGTGCTTTAAGTGAATAATCAGGAAGGGTAGATTAAGAGGTTTATGGAAACATCATGGAGAAGGAAAAGTAAACAGACTGAAATGTGGAAACCTTTGAATGCCACATTGAAGAGTTTGGAAACTTTACTGGCAATCCTAAGGTAATTGATGTTTTTAAGCAAAGGGATATGATGAATATAAAAATCTTAGAAATATTAAACTGGCTTTTGACATGCATAATAAATGGTGCACATCTTCATTAAAGATGTGGTTATGGCCATAAAGAAATGTTATGCAAATAAAGCACATTGAATACATAACCAAGAAGGGCAGAGTGCAGCAAAATAAATGTCAGAGCAAAAGATTACCCAGTGGTTTCCTGGGAACAAATGAAGCATAACATCACACAGAACAGAGACAAAGAGAGGTGCAGGTAAGATTCCTAGGGTTAGAAAACCTGACCTAGTTTATACTTTCCCCATTACACCATGTTTGTATGGAATTCAGATTGCCTAAGCATAGTGAAACAAGTATACTGTACCAAAATGATACAAAAAAATAACAAATGTTTCAATGGGCTCAAAAAGCTAGTTGAAAAATGGAAGCCACATAACTTATTGATTACATTATGAATTCAGAAGAAAACAATAACAAAAACAAAAAATTTACATCTGAGTAGAAACATGAATGATGTGGCCGGAGAAAAGTAGAGGTTTCCCCCAATCTGGAACCATCAGTTTGTTTTAATGTTCGTATAAAATAAAACTAAGATCAACAATATTAATCTTCTCTCATTATTACACAAAAAGAGCTGCCTTAAACTCTCACCTGGCTTGCTGCTTTAGTGCCTCTCTCTCTCTCTCTCTCTCTCTGTGGGTCTCTGTCTCTGTCTCTCTCTCTCTTTCTCTCTCTCTCCCGCCCCCCCCCTAGAGTTTTGTGTGTATTTGTGAACGCACATGTGTCTGTCCTGGGACTTGAACTCAGGGCCTATGCACCATACAGGAGTTATTTTGCTCAAGGCTAGTTCTGTACAACTTTGAATCACAGCTCCAGCTTCACTTTCAGCTAGTTTTTATTCATTTATTTCTTTGTTGTTTTGGGATTTTTTTTTGTTTTGGGGGTAAGGGTGGTGCTTAATTGGAGATAAGTCTCATGAAACTTCTTGCCCAGGCTGGCTTCTAACCAAGATCTTCAGATCCCAGCCTCCTGAGTAGCTAAGATTACAGGCGTGAGCCACCAACACCCAGGGCCCATATTATCTCAATCCTCTCAAATGAAGGAACTTCCATCTTTTCTAATCTTACTACTTAATTCTACTTTAGAACCTTAAATAAATGTTATACATTTCCAGAAGTTTCCTTTAGTAAAAGCAAGCCCCTGCAACCTTCATATAGTACTTAGCAGCCAACAAAATATTTTATACACCTCATCTCTTAGAGTCTGCTCAGAAGCAATGCGCAGCAGGTATTATCCGCATCCACATGTTAAACAGAAGCAGTAAGTAAGCCCAGAGCCACACATTCGTAAGTGATAGAGCCAGGCCAACTTGTAAGTGCTCTAAGTCCAAATTCCATGTTTTCTTCACTATATTATTGAGTTTCATAAAGTGCCAGTGGGTATATCTTGTTACTTAAAATGTACATTGTTATTCAGTATTATGTTAAAGTAAACACATTTTAATAAGGTGCCTTGATGGCCAAGTGCTTATTATGAGACCATTTACTAAGAAGACCTAATTATTTTAAGATGCTCATGATAATAATATTTATCACTGGCTGAAAAGTAACATGTATACATATATATATATACACACACATATGTGTGTATGTATTACGATTTGCAAAATTTTTGAGAGCATACCAAAAATTTTTTTTGCCTTGGATTCTGCAATGTAGCATGCAACAAAGACAATAAGGGTGATTTAAGACTATGTAGGCATCAAAGGGCAGAAAATAGGGCATTCCTACTCTCTTTAAGTCTGCTAAGGCCTCAAATACTGATATAGTTCAGAGCATCTTATTACCAGGGAGACATAAATCAGAAGGAGTTCAGCTAGAAGCAATAAAACAGATTAGTGTCTAAAAGGACTGACTTTAACGAAAGTTTCAAAAGAATTAAATCCAGGTAGTCTAGATTTAAAGAGAGAGCAAAGAAAAAGAAGATATAAAAGAAACTTTTCTTAAAGCCATCACCTAAACCACAAGCAGAAATTATTTTGAAACTAAACATCTAAAAACTTGAGATTTGCTCATTGCAAATATTTAGAGAATATTTATAAAGAGAAAATGTGGGAGAAATGCCCAAATTTTGCAGCACTATCTGCAATAGCAAAGTTATAATAAGATCAGTCAATGTAACCATCCACAGATGAATGAAGAAAATGTGTATCTACAAACAATGAAGTTTTATTCAGCCATAAAGAATGAAATTATGTCACTTTCAGGAAAGTGGACTGAATGGGAGATCATCAGTAAAAAGAAAGAAGCCAGACTCAGAAAGACAAATACAGCTTATTTTCTTTCATATGTAAACCTAGACTTTAAAAAAAAAATCATGAAAAGAAGAAAGGGGACTGTTTGGCAAGAAGGAACCTGTGGAAGGAGGTTAGGAAAGGCCAGAAAGGTTTAGTAGATGAGAGTGGAATCAACATACATTCTATTTCTGTACAAAGATATCATAATGGAACCTATTACTTTCTATTGCTAATATATGCTAATACAAATGAATGAAAAAAAGCAGGATAAAAGAGTTCTATTCTCCAAGTGTTGTGAAAACTACATTCCTACAGACATTTAGTCCCCAGTTAGACAGAAAAAGAAAAAGAAAAAAAAAGGATTGATCTTGAACTAACTTCTGAAATGGTAGAAGACTGAAGATGATTTTTCAGATGTTTTCTCTTACTAATTTCTTTACTTCTATGAAATTATAGCCTCTGCTAATTTCTTTTCTCCCTGTGATGCTCATTTCTTCTCCTTTGACAAAAGGAAATAAATTGTATCATTCACTTAAAGTAGATTGCATTGTTTTCAATGAATAGGTAATATAATCTTAGATACAGTTTGGAAGAGAAAGGACCAACTTCTAAAACTTAAAATGTCCTTCCCCCTCCCTTGGGAAAAAAATTTCTGAGGCTCTTACAAGTTTTCCTACAAACTAGAGAGGAAGCAGTTTAAGTAGATTTGAAGAACTGTCCCATCAGGAAAACCATTAATATATCCTTTCTTGTATCTGATCACAGAGCTGACAGTGGCTCTGGGAACTATAAGGCCCTGGGTCAAATTACCTTCTGCGCTGCTGTTCAGGATTGTCTTTTACCTTCAGTATTTTATGCTGTATGACAGCAGAATCTACTTGCAATCTCCCTTTTTATAGCAATGGGTTTTACCTTTAAAAAAAAAAGAAAAAAAGTCTAGTCTTAAACACCTCCACTCTTCAGCAAATGTTATAAAAGAGTATGTCTTAATGAAGCTTCAAACTCCAGAAGCCACAGCCTTACCCTCTCTGTCTTGCATGTCTTTAAAAATAAAAAGGGGGGAAAAAGTTTTTTTTTTCCTCAGCCACCCCTGAAATAGATCCCAACACCTCTCCAGAACCCTACCTAGTAACATCCAGGAAAATACAAGGACAGTTCCTGTGCAGCTGATTTATAAAGACAGATGTAACGAGGAATCTTAGGGACTTTGAAAACTGCCCCCAGCCCTTTAAGAATAAAAACGGTAGCTTACTCGGAAAGAGAGAAAAACCCTTCAAGAATGGACACTTAACCTCTTCCATCCAACTTCAACAGCTTCAGTGGATGGAGATACACCACTTCTCACCTACCTCTATCCTGACCACACACAAAATCCATCCATCTTAATACTTAAACCTTTTACAGCAGAAAGTTAAAATACCATTTTCATTTTTCTCCTAGTAAAAATGAGACTGTTCAAACCTAATGTTTGGCCTTGCACACTGGAATAGAAGTTGGGGTTTTCCAACCTCTTCCATCTGATTCTGGCAGTAAAGACCAAAAAAAAAAAAAAAAAAACCCAACAAGTTGACATTTGCAATGCCATTTTGAAACTGAAGACTTGAGGTTCGTGCTAGGGAGGAAGACTCCACTGCGGAGATTTTTTTTTTTCAAGCTTTCCTCAACAAAGAGCCATCTATGAAGTATTATTCCTGCTAATATTAGTGGGGCTTTAAAAAGCTAAATCTCTCTTAGCTCTATCCTGGGAAGGCTGGAAATATGAAAACCCCAAAGGCACGTGTACGTATAATTTTTTTTGGAATGAAATGTGACTGACTCTTAAGTAGTACTGTGAACCTGGCTGGATATTCTTAAGACATCCCCTGCACTTTCCCAGGACGAACCTCCTGGTTTTTGCCTGGAAATTCCTGGCTTTGGAAAAGGCCAGCAAAGGCCCGCCAGGCAGGACAAGGGCTTGTGCAGAATCGTGGGTCTCCTCACCTGCTGTCTCTCGGGTTGGTTTTTTTTTCAGGAATTTTCAATCAAGGTCTCCTCCAAATCTGACCCTACCAACACACACACACACACACACACACACACACACACACACACACACTGCTTTCTCCCGTCCCCAGATTTCAAAAATGGGGACCAGGTTTCTCACCATCCTCATAGTTTTTGAGATAGTAATCCGGACCCGGACCCCCGCGGCTTTTCGCCGGGTTCCTCAAGTTCTGGAACTGCAGGAAGTCGGTCCTTTTGCCCCCGAAGCGCAGAAAGGCCGGCGAAAGTCCCCGAGCCAGGGTCACCAGACGCTTGGAGCTGCAGGGGTAGAGAAAGAGAGGGGGAAAGGATCCCCGGAGAAGGCTGGAGCAGCCCGGACACCGCAGGCACGGACTTAAGATCCTCTGCCGACCCCTCCCCGCCCCTCCATCCGCGCGCCCAGCTCCCTCCTTTGCCCCCCCCCACCCCCACCTCGGGACTCTGCCGCCTGCGCCCCGATGCCTGCAGTGCCCCCCTCCCACAGACACCCCAATGCCCAACAGACTGATTTCCAAAACCTTAGCGATCGTGTGTGTGCACTGTGTGTGTGGAGACTGGAAATACACTTGTGCAGCGAAGCTAGGGCCAAGGCGCGGTTACAGGGCTCGTGCCACTTGCCAGGAAAGCGCTCCCGGCTGAGCCGCTCCGGGCGCGGACCGCCGGCCTTCCCGACGGCTGCCAGACCTCCACGCAGCCAGTCGGCGGCCGTGGCGTGCCTGGCCCCAGGAACTTCGTAACCTCCACGGCGCAGGTAAAACCTGGCCTTGGCTCTCTTCAACCAGGCCCCAGCGCCCGAGGGCAAGTCGATTCCGACTTTGTTGGCTTGCATGCTCCAGTGGAGCTTCCTTTTTCATTTCATTCCTACCAACTAGATCGCTTCCCAAATTCCCGGGCAGAGCGATGTCCAGAGGAAGTTCTCGCCGCCCCAGAATCACAGCCAAAGCGCGAGCTTTTTCGTCCCTGCCATCACTCAGCCGGCTCTCAAGAAAGATACCATCTTCTCTACCCCCCTGAGTTTTGCTCTTTTTTTTTTTCTTTTTTCCTGCCCACTTGGGGCGGTTTGGAAGTGCCGCGAGGAAGCGACATTGGGTGAACTATGGGAGAAAAAAGCAAACTTGAGGAACAGCTGCGTGGACAGACAGCCATGCAAGTTCAAGATTTCCATCCACTGGATTTTTTTTTAAGCCAAAGGCAGCTACTTTGGGAAAGAATAGAGAGGGAAAACTAAGCGGACGCTGTTCACGCTCTGAGTTCCGGGATCTGGAAGTTATTTTTTTTTTTAACGCTTTGCTGGTTCGGGCTCTGAGTCTCCAGGAAATTGGAGAAGTTGGCATCCTACAAGAGATTCAAGAAAGAGAGAAACGGAGCCCCCCCTTCCACCTCCCCACCCCTCCCACACACACATTTAGAGAGAATCGAAGAGCAGACGTGTTCCCGTGGCTCGAAGAGGAATCCTTCGGCTGGGGATTTCCAGGACCGAGTTCCAGGGTGCGCGCAGTCAGGGCGTCGCGTGGGCCGGCCGAGCGCAGGGAAGTCCCCGCGCGAGTCTAACCCCAGGTAAACGCGGCATCTCCAAACTATCCAGAAGCCAAAGCAATGCGTCCCACCATCAACACATCCATCCTCTAAAGCTGTCTCTCAGAATTCTTTTTCTTTCTTTCCCTCCTTTCTTTCTTTCTTTCTTTCTTTCTTTCTTTCTTTCTTTCTTTCTTTCTTTCTTTCTTTCTTTCCTTTCCTTTCCTTTCCTTTCCTTTCTGCTGCAGGCAAGTATTTAGCGTGAACAAGCTGATTTTTAAAAAGGAAACCCGGTGGGGTACGCACAGCTGGAAGAGTGCAACGCACGTGGGGTGCGCATTTTGGAAACCCTCAGTCGCACCCCCACGTCGGGACGAGCTCAGAGGCGCGCTCTTGCTGCCAGGGAGAGCTTGGGGGGACGGGGGGGGGGGGGAGAGGAATTCTGGAGGAGCCGAGCTGTTCCCGCCCTCCCAGCAGCCGCACCCGCGGGAACCGAAACGGCCTCCTCGGCAGCGGCGGATGTCCCCCCCCTCGGTCTTTGGGGGTACAGTCCCTTCACGGGGCACCCCCGGGCTACCTGCCGCCGCCGCAGAGCCGGCGGGGGGCTGGAGCCGAGACCCCTAGACGCGGAGGGCGCAGGGGCGCGCGCACCCCGGGGAGCCCCACTCCAAACTCACGGGGACAGAAGAAGGGGGCTGAGAGCTCTCGGGGCTCGGGTGGAGGCGCCCACAATGAGGCTCCAGTTTGGAGGGATTTTTTTTTTAAGCTCCACACTTGGATTTAATATTGCAGAGAACGTTTTTTCCCCACCCGTGCAACTCTGTCCCCGATGGCGAGGGATCGGGGCTGCCTGACTGTGGAACAGAAATAACGAGGGGAGCCAGGGGGGGAAGGGAATCCAATTAGATTCCAAGGAGATCGGAACCGCCGGCTTTACTCCTCTGCCGGTGCGGGACTCCAACCGCAGGACCTTCCCCCTGAGAACCGCAGAGCCCCCTTCCCCGTAGGGACACCACGAGCTGAGCTGAGCGAGGATGCTCATTTTTTCATTAAAGAAAAACTAACTGATGCCGGTTATGGCAGAAGATTGAAGGAGGAGGCACCGGCGGGGGAGGCATTTCATTTTGTCTATAAAAAGCGCCTGGCAAAAAAAAAAAAAAAAGCCCTCCAGCCTACACATGACAGCGGAGGATCTAAAATCATTTCTTTAACTCCGAAAGCAACTCGCCCACCGCTCAAGCTTCTCCTGAAATTCGTTTTCCGTCTGGGAAAGTGGGAGACAACGGGTGGACACTCTGTGTGGAAAATTCCACGTTCGTGCAATCCCCGATTGAACACGCACACTTGCTCTCTGCCACACACACGCACACGCGCACACACACGCACACTCCATTCCTCTCTGGTCTTTGTTGCCCCAGACATTTTTTTCCCCCTTCACTTTGTAACTGCCCTGAAACCTCTTGGTTCTTTTTTTTTTCTTCTAACAGAAGAAGGGGAGGCTAATTGTGGCTATATGTAAGCACAACATTTTTTCAGTCATAACTGATAAGTTTCTGAAATGCCTTCTGCATGGCAGACATGTGCATCTTAATAGAAAACATTGCTTTTCTCAATCACCAGTTACAGCCTCTCAGCAAATATTCCAGGAGGAAGAAAGTCTCCCTTTTCTCTCTCTCGAGTGACAAGAAAGACAGAGCAAGAGATCCACTTGGCTTATTTTCTTCTCCTTCTTCTGCCCTCTTTGGAATGGTGGGGGTGGGGGAGTATAGGAAGAGAATGAGAGGGAGGGAGGGTACTTAACAAAGTGAACCAGGATCCATCGCAGCCCCTGCCTTACCTTAAGAAATCGAGCCAGCCATCATGAATGATGGAGGGGTCCAGCTGCAGAGAGAGGAAGTTCTCATTGACTGTCCTGACTGGGTTCTTGGTGCTCACATCAAGTAGAATCAGGGTCTTTTCCTTCCAACCTGAAGTCCTACCTACAGACAAGGGTCTCCTGTCTCCAGCTAGGGAAGAAAGGGGGAGAAGGAACCACAGAGCCAAGCAGAGAGCCACGGAGGCTAGGCTGGCTGGGGGGCGGGAGTTGCCGGAGGGCATGGCTTCGGGGAAGGCACCGAGCACCCTCATTTAAATCCTTCTGATTTAAACCTCTCTCCCTACTGGGTCTGGCCGGTGACTAATTGTCCTTATCTAAAGTGTGTGTCTGTCTGCCTTTCTCCCCCCCCCTTTTCCCCCTTCCTTTCCCCCCCTCTCTCATTCTCTTTCGTTAGCTCTCTCTCTCTTTTTTTCCTTTTTTTTTTTTAGTGTTTTGGTGCTGGTGGAGCGAACTCACGCCCCTAGCCAGCCTTCTCAGCAACTCGTGCCAAAAGTACTGTTCACCAGCACCGCCCCTTTAAGAGATTTGACTGCAGACATTTTTTTTAACATTTTTTTAAAGGTAAGGGGTGGAGGGGGAGGCGGGAAGTAGGAGGGAGGGGTGGCGTTGTACCCTCCTGATTTAACCCTCTAGGGTCAGGATGGAGGGGGGGAGAATCGTCTTGGGGTACGGGCTTGTTTTTACTTCCCTCCCTGGGAGGCGCTGGGGAGGACAGTGCAGTCTCCAGACTGCATCAGGCTTGTCCTCTGCTGGAGGGAGGGGGGGGGAGGAGAAGGGGGAGAAGGAAGAAGCATTAGCTTTGGGCTGAAGCTGCAAAGCGAAGGTTGTTCTTGTTCAGTTGCAAAGGGTCCATGGTTTTATTTTATTTCTATTATTATTTATTTATTTGCCAGGGCATGGAGGGCAGAGGAGACTGTGAGGAGGAGCTCACACCCCTTTAACTGGCCACACAAAAGCATCCTCTGACATCCCATAGGACAATGGAGTAGACAGGTCAAAGGCTTCTGTGTCTGGAGTCAAAAAGTTCCAGTCTAGGCCATTGCTCTGCTGGGCACTTCCTGCCGCCCAGGCCTAAGGATCTTGGGCCTTCTCCATATAGAATGGTTTTGGCTTAAGTCAAGGGCGGCCCTGTGCACATTTGAGCCACTTGGTTCCACAGCCAAGACACAGCTACTGCTCCACCATGCCACCCTACCTGCAGAAAAATGGCAGAGAGGACCAGAATGTTACAGAGGCTTCAAACCCAGCCCAGAGTCAGAGCCCAGCGTGTATGTGTTGCTTATAGCCCCTGAACTCAGGAGCCCCTGCGTGCATCACCCAACCGTCCTCAAGGCACACCTATCCACAATCGCTGTGGTATTGTGGCTCTGGATCCCATCCTAAGGCGGTGGACTAGGGAAGGGGCAGTCACACCACTGGAACCCACTTTCAGCTTTTTTCTAGAACAAAATAAAGCTTTTGTTTCACAGATGAGAAGTAATTTACGCAGGATGGGTCCACAGGAGCACCCCAGGGCCTCCTTGGTATCAAACTGACTTAAATACAGAACACAAGTTTTCCTTAGGCATGGAAGTGCCAAAGTCCATATCTCTCCCTTTCACTGGACCGAAAAGGATTAACAAACTTGAAAAGGACCAGAGTAATCTTTCCCTGAGGAGTATCTACCAGCTTCAATGACCAGGAAATCTAATAGTTATGTATCCTTAAAAGCACTCCAATAACTTTCTAGAAGTAGAATTGCATGAAATGAGGTTAGAGAAGAAAGAAACAAGTCATGTCACTTAGAGGTGATTTTTTTTTTAATCAAGCTGTAACAGTATGTATTAGATATGGCATTTAGTTCCTGAAAATTTCTAACACATCCAGGTTCTTTAAGAGATGGGAGGAAAGGAAGAGATGATATAAGTTACAGTAGAAATTACTGTAATTTTTAATTATGTACTAAGCACCTTCCAGAGATGGTGACAAAGACTTGTAAGCAAAGACTGTTAGATCTGTATCATCAGATGCTGGCATTTTGGTACTTAATAAATACCTGAGAAATCTTTTAATGCTAAATCAAATCCTGCTCATTACACTGAAATCATATACTGTTTACAATGAGAATATGAAAAAATTAAGTACTTTTATTTGTCACAGTAAATTTTGTTTTGGGTTCTCTGTTATATCACTTATTTTCTTTGTTATTAATAATTTCCTAGACATCTCCTCCAGGAAAACATTCATTTTGAAAAGCCATTAGTTTACTTGCTATATTCAGAAGTAAAACAAATTATATAAACTTAATAGTGATCCAGATTTTCCAAAGGCTTCTAACCAAGCTTTTCCTTAGGTTATAAGTAAACACACCTTTAAGAGCCACATTCATTGATCTCTAATTTAATGGATGTCTGTAGTATTATCTCTCAACAATACTTCTATGATGAAGGATGAACTTGAGTAGAACAAGAATCTGCTCAATTCTGAATTTTTACCATTTTACTGACTCAACTGCTCTGTAATAATTTGGTGGGCCAGTTGCTTTAATTAGCATTTAATGTTCACATCAAGACATGTATGTGGTACTGAGTCAAATCCAACAAAGTGCTTGTTTTCTTAATTGCTGATGAAAACCATCTCCAGTCTAGCCATTGAAATTCTATAGTCATAGCCAGCCTCGGGACATCGGGGGAAGGAAATCAGTAACATTTAAGGCGTTCCAGATAGTCCTGGCTGACTCCAGGATGATCCAAGCATGGAGCCTTTGGTCGACTTTAGCTATAGATCTCCAGAACTACTCTTTTTCTATACCACTCCCCCAATGTGGGCTTACCTCCCATCTAGCCCTAAATTACACAGTTAGTAGCTCATTATCAATCTACACATTTCATTGATGCTTCTAGGCTATTTTCTACATGTTGGGTGACAAAAATCTGTATAGGTTTTCTTAAATTATAGTTTCCTAGGAGACAAGAATTGGATCTCTGTATTAAAATATAAACAATTAGCAGCAAACTACATGGATGTCTCCTTAGAAATGCCCTGCTTAGTGTCTGCTGAAGAGTCTACTTTGTAGAGTTTCTTTTATATTAGAAGATTAAGTTCCCAGAGCTATTTAAAAAAAAACTTGATAAACTGATTTGGTGATTTCCTTAGATTACGGTTTCAAAATAAATGTTAGTCCGAGGGAAGAAAAGAAATATGTTTGCCAACTTTTTGTTTTGTCTAGTAAGAATGTTTTTTTAAACAAATCTATCAACTACTTATCACTATTACTTTCTAAAAGATGGAACACTTTAACATTCAAAAATAAAGCTGGTGGGGTGCATTGTGGCTCACGATTGTAATCCTAACTACTCAGGTGGCTGAGGTCTGAGAATTGCAGTTCAAAGCCAGCCCAAGCAGGAAAGTCCATGAGACTCTTATCTCCAATTAACCACCAGAAAACCAGAAATGGAGCTGAAGCTCAAAGTGGCAGAGCATTAGCCTTGAGCACAAAAGCTCAGGGACAATGCTCAGGCCATGAGTTCAAGCCCCACAACTGACAAAAAATAAAATAAAAAATAAAGCTGAATCAACATATTAAAATAAAGAACAAGTATTTAACCTGAACAAACTTAGCTTTATGGAAAAAATCACTATATTTTTACTTCTATTATTTTATCACAGATAAGTCTAAATACACTCGTGAGCAACATGGGACTAGGCTAGGTGAGCAGGAATTCTGAGAAAGTGTGTTCATGCTCAAATTCTTTGCCACGAACACTGCTGTTGAAAACTATATGGTGCCTTGACCATAATGACCTCTTATTGTATTTTTTCCATGCCTGCCACCAGGGAGCTCTATGCCCATTTCTTCATGATTATTATTCTTATTAACATACAGTAGCCATGGAGGGGTTCATTATGATAGTTCCACCCATGTTTACAATATATCTCAATCCACTTTCTGTCTCTGAAAGAATTATACCTAGACATTTAATACCAAGAAGAAAAAAGTACCTTCCTCCATAGCATGAAGACATTGTGGTAATCACTCAGTGCCTGTGTACTTGTCCTGATGATTGCTATTTACTGAGATCATCGGGTCCAGGCATGATGCTCAGTACTATGTAAATGTCACCTTGTTGATTCTCTCAAACTAGTTCTGAGAAGTAGATATAGCTCCTTAGCATACCTGATATCCAGCGAAGGAAACCGAGCTTCACTTGTTAAGCATCATCACTGTAACACTGAGTGAAACCCAGGATGGAGACCCAGGGATTCCTCACTTCAAAGCCTGTGTTTCAATGTACAGTGGTGAATTTTATAACTGGTCTAACTCTCAGTAACCTACTGTATAAAATTCATACAATATCTAAGGGTGGTGTAAGACCTCAAGCAGGTTATATATGGGGAAACTGCATTAAACATTCTAATATCTTACATAATTGTACAACTTGTTCCTTTCTTTTCCATTCTATATCTTTAACACTTGCCACAAATATACCACTTTAACTGATTTCTGGGGTAAGAACAATGTTGCATGTGAATATCTCAGTAGTTAACTTGAAACAATATGTCAACTCTATGCAATAACCAAACAAGTTCACCCCACATATTCTAAAACATTTTTAAAGACTCTTCCAAATAAGAAAAAAAACAAAGTGGGTTTTATATGCCTTCTTAAATCTTTCACTAGAAACAGGAGTAGGGAAATTGCTGGCTACAAAGTCTGGGGGTTGTTGTTGTTGTTGTTGTTGTTGCTTTGTGCCAGACCTGGGGCTTGAACTCAGGGCCTGGACTCTGAGCTTGAAAATGTTTGCCCCAAGCTAGCCTGTTTACCACTTGAGCCACAGCTCCCCCCACCCTCTATTTTTTTCTGGTGCTTAATTGGAGATTAGAATCTCAGGAAGTTTCCTGGCCAGGCTAGATTTGAAACATGATCCTCAGATCTCAGCCTCCTGAGTAGCTAGAATTACAGGTGTGAGCCGCGGCACCCAACTCAGTTTATTGTTTTAGCATCAAGGACTGAGTCTCTTCCTTTGAGACCAATGGAAATGCACCAGAGACCAATACCTGTCATTCCTGCCTAGGATACTGATACATCCTGTGTTTATAGCCAGATTCTGCCTTGTCTCCCATAGTGCTGCTCCAAGACATACAAGCAAGGACAAATGCACACCTGGAAGGAAGAGGAAGAGCAACACTTGTTCCATATGGAAAATTGAAGAAGGAATCGGAAACATGTACAGTGGCACATGCTTGTCATTCCAGCACTGCAAAAGCAGAAATATTGAAAGTACCATAGTCATAACTTCCATGTATACTAATTCATTCTATGCTCAGAGCAGAGAAGACAGACTC